TCGGAAGGAAACCTCTCGGAGTTCGACGGCGCTTACTCCCAAGTAAACGGGCGGAGCGCCGCCGCTTTAGAGGAAGCGCCCACCCGCCCCGGCCGTCTAGGTCCGCCGACTCCCCCCCCCTCTGTCTCCCCCCCCCCCGCATTGCGCCCCCTGCCTTTTCCCTTGGACTTGAGGGACTTTCCAGGACCCTCCTCCGAATTTCGCCGTGGCTTCTGAACCCGCCGCCCCGTTTCTATCTCTGCGGCCGCCGCCCCACCCCTGGCCCTGCCCGAGCCCCGCTCCTTTTCGCCCAATTCTGAAGCCGCTCGTTCTACTCCTGGGCTCCTTACAGAGGCAAATGGGGATGGGCAGCGCTCTCCTCGGGACCCCCCCCCCTTTTCCAAAAGCCATGTAACGTGGCTCAGTGGAACATAGTTTCCTCACCCTCTAGGAACTGTTAAGGGCTGTGCCCTCGAATCAGCACTGCAATTCATGTAAAATACGTTGTCACTAAGACTTCCTCTTCTCTCCCCCCCCCTTCCTATCCTACTTGCTTTTCCAAATTTAGCATAAGAGTCCTCAGTTGCTTATTTCTTCACAGTAGCTGGTCTTTCAGATTATCTCCCCAAAGTCCACATGCTGAGATGCCCCTGCGTTTTCACGTCCTCACAATGGTTGTCTTGATACTCTGTCGGTGGCCGACCCCCACTTTCTGCTCCCTGCCAGCCCTGGTGGTGTTAGGAAAGAATAATCTAAACTGCAAATAAGTAGAGAATGCTTGCAGAGAGAGCAGGCAGTTGTCCCAGTAGGAAATGGAAAGGTGGTCTCTGTTCATTTTTAGATGGTGAATCTCCCTTGTCATTCTGCTCTGTAAAAAAAATTAAAGATGTGTTTCTCCCTCTTCAGTGGTTTAAGATGGTTTGAACATTTCTCTGTGTCTTTAGTTTCCTTCAGTGCCTAGGGCCGCTTCGCCTATGAAACTTTGCTCTTGCACGCTTTTTCTTCTTTTTCTTTTTCTTGTTTGGGAGTTCATCACTGTGCAAGCTTGGAGAAGTAAAACCGAAGTAAAAGATTCATATGTGGACTCTTAGCGTGCTTCTGGGTGATTCTTCACATGAACAATATTTTGTGCATATTTTCATATGCTATGCAACATCTAAAGTTTAGGAGCTCTCTGGACTCGTTTACTGTATTTTCATGCATGAAAGTAGCTGTGGGTTATCTGTATGTTTAGGTTTGAGCCCTTATCCTGGAAACAAATGGAGTGATTGGTTGAACTTTGTCATATGGATCAACGTCTTAAATGTCATTTTATTTTCTGCTGCGATCTTACGACTGGGAATCATTTGAAAAAGGAGGGAGTAATGTACATGACATGAACTGACATGTTGAGTGTTTTCATTTTCTAGTTCTCACACCAGTCCAAGCAATGCGTATTGCTGTTTCTAAAACACTTTTCTGTTCTGTTCAATGATGTCTGTGGTTTTTAGCAACCTTTCAGTCCAGAATGAAAAGTTCTTTTCTCCTGGAACCTTCAGACAGGATTTTGTAAAGCAACTAATTAATCTTCTGGCACCACAGCTCTTTGTCTCCTGACTTTCGAGAGTAAAAGCAGATTTTGATTCTCCTAAACAACTTTCCATTGTCTCCTTTGTGTAATATTTCCAAAGAGTGTGAACTGTAGACCACTCCTATCCATGTTAACCCAGGGGTAAATTCTGCCTAAGTTAGTGGGATGTACTTCCAGGCAAGTGTTGCAGCCCTAAGATGCAGTCTTATACACACTTAGCTGGGAGTAAGCACCATTGAACTTACTAAGCTTACTTCTGAGTAGAGGTGTAGCTGTCTGTGGACAAACCTGACTGGGCTTAACCATCCAGGGGTCCTTTACCTTTACCTTTTACCTTAGAAGTATATTTGACTGCATCGTTAGTTCATAAACCCTCAAATTGTGTTCTATAGTGAGTTCCTGGCAGCTGGGACAGTCTGTTATGGTGGTTAACCCAAAAATACAGGAAGTAGAAGAGTGCTGCTGGCAGCTTAACAGAAGTTGACTAAAATGAAAGCCATTTTTTTCAGAAGGGTAAAATGGGGAACAAGACAAGAGAGTTATCATGAAACAATGAAAGGAAGACATCTCTTTCTGTTTAGGCAAACACAAAGCAGCAGGAATAAGTTTAGTGCCTTCAGCATCTAGCAACACAGAGCTTGAAAGTACGGCAACTCAAGCAACCCAATCTCAAGCCCATTTATTTAGCAGAGAGTCCATTTTATTTCAGTGGACCTATTTCCAGGTATAATAATAATAATAATAGTAATAATAATAATAATAATAATAATAATAATAATAATAATTATAATTTATTATTTGTACCCCGCCCATCTGGCTGGGTTTCCCCAGCCACTCTGGGTAGTTTCCATAGAAACAAAAAATACAGTACAGGTAAGCACACATAGGACCACTGTCTATTTAAAATTATTATTTATTATTGTATTTATATCAGGGGATCTCAAGGTAGCACACATTGTTCTCCCCATCTCCATTTTAGCAGCAAAACAATCCTGTAATGTAGGTGAGGCTGAAAGACAGCGACTGGCCTAAGGTCACCCATGAGCTTCATGGCTGAGACAGGATTTGAATCTTGGGTCTCAGTTCCTAGTTTAGCACTCTAATCATTGTACCATACTAGCTCCAAAGGTTCTTGCCCCTTTTGAAACTATGCATTAGTAACGCTCAATATGATTGCTTGATTAGTACCTGAGAGCTGCGGCAATTTTTATCTCCCATTTTACAAATGGTGCTGAGGCCATTGGTTGATTATGGTTTGCTCAGGATTGCAGCTGCACTTAGAAATGACTGTGCTTGTTCTCTCCCCCCCCCCCCGGCTGTGAAACAGGACATTCATTATGAGAGATGGTTGCTAATCTAGTATAAACTACTTCATTGTGCAAGTTGATGAACAAAATTGCCTCTGAATAGTATGATAAATCCCTGTGGCAGTGATCTAGATTGTAGGATTTCTTAATAGTTTTCAGGCTTAGAGTTTGTAATGAGGCTAATGTGGATAAACACCCAAAGCAGTTCCATTGAATTTTGTTGGCAGAATCTGTAGAATAGATTACGGGGTTTGGGTCTGTGAGTAGAGGGCAAGTCTGGTCTCCAATCTTCTATTTAACCTTTGCATTTTCCTTTCTTTAAAACAAAGAAGGCAATAGCATGTAAATCTTGGCATTCCATGTCATGTATTTAAACAAAAAATGAAAAGGGAAACCCCCACCACCACCTTTTAGCAGTGAATTAGCTGTACTACTTAAATATAGCATGCAAATCCACAAGAAACCTCTTTGGGTTTGTCCACACTAGAACAAAATTTGGATTTGCACCTGCCTTTTTCCCATTAATGTAGGGGCATCCATATTAACTCCTCCTCATCCCAGTGTTGTCTCAGGTCTGTTCAACCTGGCAACCTGTTTGCAGATGATGCAGCCTTGACAGCACACTCCAAGGAAGCTGTACAGAGACTCATCAGCTGTTTTGCCCAAGCTTGCATGGAGTTCGGCCTCACCATCAACCAGATGAAGACCAACACCCTAGGTCAGGATGCCACCAGCACTCCACATATCAGCATTGGTGACCACACGCTTGAGGTGGTAGATAATTTTGTCCACCTGGACTCCATTGTAACTAGCAACCTTTCCATCAACACTGAGCTGGACAAACGTATTGTCAAGGCAGCTACAGTAGTGGCTTGCCTCTCCCAAAGGGTATGGGAGAATGTGATGTTAATGACCAATACCAAGATGAAGATCTGCCAGGCTTGTTGAATGTGGAGCATACAGATTTTTTGGAAGGGGTGATGCCGCAATGTCTTTTATATCTGTTGTGTCAGGAAGATTTTGGGCATCACATGGCGGGACAGAGTCTCAAACAAAGATGTGCTCTTCCAAGCCCACATTCCTAGCATGTCTGCCCTTCCGTCTCAGCGACGTCTACACTGGCTTGGGTCATGTACGCAGAATGGAAGATGGCAGGATCCCCAAGAACATGCTGGCTTCAGGCACCAGGCCCTTTGGCAGAGCAACTATGCATTACAAAGATGTCTGCAAACATGGCATGAAGGTTTGCAACATTAACCCTGCCGTATGGTTGGATGATTCCAGTGACCAGAGTAGGAATGACCACTGGGAGGAGTGCAGAGAGAAGAAACGCCATTGTGCATCTGTAACAGCAAAACTGAATACTTTCATCTGCCCCAGCTACAATAAAACATGTCTCTCCTGTATGATCTCTAAAAACACAGTAGGCACTGTAACTGTCCAATGGTTTGACTTTACCCCCAATGATGTACTCTTCCATTGTCTCTCCAGACAGATAAATGCCAAAATTTCCAATTCTTGGAAAGTTCAAAACAGCCAGGATTGTAAAACCCCACTTTGGAGGGGGAGGCAGGCCTGGAACAACACTGGGATGAGGAGGGTGTCAATGTGGATTCCCATACATTAATGGAGATAAAGGCAGGTGAAAATCCATATTTTGCTTTGGTAGAGACAAAGGCAGTAATGTATTCACTTGCAAGGGTTAAATATTGTTGTCCTCAAAGGCTGTTTTGTCACCTTATCTTTGGATTGCCACATTCTGCCATTTAGATATAGGGCATGTGATTTTATACTTTTAACATTTCGGGTTGAGAGCACTTGTTCAATTAAAGAGAAAGAGAGAGATGCACAGCATAGGAACTTTGAGAACGACAATTCTTGTTTGAAATGCTAGCTGTGTAGAAAGAATAGATACGAAATCTTTGTTTGATTATGATAACTACTTTGGCTTCTTCATTTCTTTCTTTAGGTCCCATAATAGTATCCATTTCTGCTGTGCTGTTAGTAACTGATACTCAGTTGAGCTTATTGCATTGCTCCAAGATCCTGTTCAATATGTGTCTTTTCACTAAAACATAACTGGAGAATAGCTGTGGGTTTTCTTCATGCAGAGTTTCCACTAAGTCCAGCTAAAACAAGATCATGGTAGCTCAGTCTGTAGAGCATGAGGCTTGAATCTCAGGGTCATGGATTCGAGTCCCATGTTGGACAAAATATTCCTGCATTGCAGGGAGTTGGACTAGATGATCCTTGTGGTACCTAACTATGATTCTATGACTCTATAAGATGCCATTGCAAGGATTCATAGTCCCCTGTGGTAGAGACAGATAAATTTTCTGATACTATACATGTCTACTCAGAAGTAAGTCCCACTGAGTTGCGTGAATCTTATCCCCCAAATAAGTGGGAATAGAATTGGAGTCCAGATGTTCAATTTAATGGTTCAACTTAACCATTAGATTGAAGCTCACATAACAGTACTTTTTGAAAAGAGCACAGCACTTCAAAAAAGTTGATGGGCATTGTTCTCTCATTAGAAAAGTAAAATGGTGTTGAATCCCTGATTTATTAATAGCCTATTTTTATGCTAAGGCATAACTGGGTAATTGTTGAGATTAACTTGAAATGGTTGTGGGGGGGGGGTGGCAGGGGGAGAGGCTGTAATTCACAGAGAACAGTGGCAAATGATTCAGTCATGCAAGACTCCTTGCTGCCTGGATACTAATTGCACACTTAATGTTAAAACAAAAACCCTGGGATTGCTTGTTAATTTCAAGTCATTACAAGAAAGCGCAGGAAAATATGGCAAGTAAAATTTTTAAATAGACTTTTAAAACAGCAGCAACAGGGAAGCTGCTAAAGCCTTTGTCATGACTGGAGTGGTGCTCCATTAGTCTGTTTATCAGAAAGTCCTTGTGACGAGGCTGGCTTTCTCTGTTGAAAATGATAATTCTGCTCAGCTTTCAAAGCAGCTTTCCAACCAGAACAAAACCATCAATGAAACCAGAAGCAAATACCATAAAACAGTGGCTTCCCCAACCTGGGCATTTGGACCACAGCACTGAAGCTTATGAGAGTTGTCCTAAACATCTGGAGGGCACCAGGTTGGGGTCTAACCTTTCAATGTTTACAGCAGCACACTGCACAGCAAAGGACCTGAGCCCAAAGACTACTGTAGCTCATCAAAGCAGGAGCTTGGTGGACTTCTTTAGGAAACAGGTTCCACAAGAGGAGGGTAGGCTTGTTGGTAAGATAGCAGCAGCCTGCGATCATAATACAGTGGTGCTTCAGGTTACATACGCTTCAGGTTATAGACTCCACTAACCCAGAAATAGTACCTCGGGTTAAGAACTTTGCTTCAGGATGAGAACAAAAATCGTGGTCCTGCGGTGAGGCGGCAGCGGGAGGCCCCATTAGCTAAAGTGGTGCTTCAGGTTAAGAACAGTTTCAGGTTAAGAACGGACCTCCGGAACGAATTAAGTACTTAACCCGAGGTACCACTGTACATACATAATGGAAGGTTTGTATCAGGTATGCCTGAAGAAGTAGACATAACCTATGGCTATTATTATTTATAACAAAAGCTAGTGGTGCTCTAGCGCAGGGTTTCCCAAACTTGGGTCTCTAGCTGTTTTTGGACTACAGTTCCCATCATCCCTGACCATTGGTCCTGCTAGCTAGCAATGATGGGGGTTGTAGTCAAACAACATCTGGAGACCCAAGTTTGGAAAACTCTGCTCTAGTGGAAGATGAGCATCAGCCAGTGATCAGCATTATCAAATGTGGGCCTTCAAACACAATATTGAAGTTTCTTAGGGTGGAGGGAAGTTTCACTTTTTATATATACAAAGCAATCGGGTTTCTGGGCAGAGGACGGTAGTAGCTTGCTCAGCTCAAGTATTATTTTTCCCTGTCGATGCACCTTGGCTGCTTTTAGGAAAGTAGCTGAAGTATTCAGATACTTGACTACAGCTTTAGTTCCTTATTATCATGCTGGCAACTTTTTTTGTGGTGTTGCTTCAGAGGTGTTCTCAGCATATCCTCTTTCATATTAAAACTTTCCGATTTCTGATCCTCATGCATATTCAGCAGTTTTTTAAAAGGCTCTTATTGTCTTGATTTTTGCTGTTCTCAGACACGTAGGGGCCCTTGTGCCGCTAAGTAACCAACGTGTGATTTAAACCTTCCATTTCAGGACACTTTCTGCTCATCTGGTTTTAAACTATTTTTTAAAACAACAACAACCACCCTTCCATTTTTTACTTTGCATTATGCAGAATTCAGGCTTGTTCGTTATTAAACATATATGAAATTTATTAGTTTTGTAATAATCAATTCCAGCAGGGCCATATGTTAATATCCCTAAACTATTGCGGCTCAATAAATCAAACATTGTCTATTCAAATCGCCCACCTCCAGAATCTGGGGGAATATTGAAATTACCCATTTTTTTAAAAAAAGGAACACAATGCACAGTAGAATGCTTCCGTTATAAATTACCCCCTCAATGATTCTGTGTTGGTGTGAAACTTTCCAGCTCTATTCTGATAGCCTTAAGAAGATGTGTAGAACTGCTGAAGGATGTAATCTTTAAAGCACTTACTTCAAAGTAGTCACCTTGACTTCAGTGCAGTGACTCGTAATAAGTGGGTTGAGAATTGTGACCTTACAAGATAAAAATAACCAATGTCAAGGGTTTTTTGTTTGTTTGTTTGTTTTTTGCCACATCAGAAATTCCTCTCCTGTCTTTTCCTCTCTGTTATTTCTAATGTATGTTTGAAACAAAGAAAAGTGTCTATGAATGTCCTGGACCATGAAGCCTGTAGAAGCTTTTTGCAAACAGTATTTCATAGTAGAAATTTCCTTTCCTTACTTGCTTCTTTCCCCTTGTGGCTTTTGTGTCTGAGCTCTTTTAATTTGGCTTGCCTCTTGGGGGTGAGTAAACAGCTTTTAAAAAATAATTGGCTTAGCCATTTCTGATGTGCTTGGTATGCTTCTATCTCTTGAGGACCCAAGATTTTTATATTGAAAAGAAAAATCTTGAATTCCACTTAGCAGCCAAAAGAAAAACTACTGATGAGATGGGGAAGGCAAATGCACAGAGTATTCATTTTACTTAAGTTTTTCTTTCCAGATTCATGGAAATCATTTTTCTGGCAACAAACAATGTAGAATCATTTCAGCCAAATTAATTTCTTGGATTGTAATTGAAGTAGTCTTGTGATGGTAGAGGATTTGGCAACTTGTTAAATTTATATGTTCTTTTGCAATGCAAAGTGAGCAGCTCTCCAGATTTCTTCTCTCTCTCTGTGTGTGTATATATATTTATTTCCTGAAACCATCACCCAAAAGATATAGATCAGGCATAGGCAAACTTGGCCCTCCGGATGTTAAGGGACTACAATTCCCATCATCCCTGACCACCGGTCCTGTTAGCTAGGGGTAATGGGAGTTGTAGTCCCAAAACATCTGGAGGGCCGAGTTTGCCTATTCCTGATATACATATTATTGAAATGGGCCTTAAGGAGCAAAGTAGTGGACAAAACTGGTGTTGGAATTGAAAGTACATGAAGGTCCCACTATAGGAATGCTTGTCATCCAAAATCTCAGTTATGTGAACATAAACAATTATACCCAAATCTCACTACGCAAATGGCTGATTCAGATATCCAAACAGCCAGAGTTTGTCACATCTTTACTTGTTTGTCTTTTGTTGGTCAGCTGCAACCATTTTGGACAGAAACCATGGAGTGAGGAAGAAAAAATCGGACAAATTGGAACAGGAGAGATCAAGCAAAGCAGTTTTTTCTTTGTCTTTTGCTGGTTGACTGCAGCAGTTTCAGGCAGAAACAATGGAAGGAAGGGTGGAGAATGGGAGGGAAGAAAGGAGAGAGATGGGAGAAATCATGGATTAGAAGTTTCCCCATAGGAAGTAATGGAAATCGTCAGCTCGTTATGAGAACACTTGCCTAACAAATGATTTCCTGGGAAAGCATTGTGTTCAGAAAGCAGGACCTGTGTGTACAGAGGCTAGGTTCCTGTGTACCACAAGGATGAACACACAGCAAGCCTCAGGGACATGTATTCTGCTTCCCTTCTGTGGTTGTGAGACTGGAATCTTCCATTTTCATTTTAGGTTTGCCACGGTTTAGTGTTACATCTGAGCCCTAAACTGGTTGATTTTATTTTTGTTTTTGAAACAAAGCAGTTTCATAAACTATGGTTTCAGTTTGGGTTTTTCCTCTAGCTAAGGCATTCTGCCTAGGTTCATTTAATCTAAAACAGAAAAAGTTCCAAATTTCTCATGGCCACAACAGATCAGGGGTGGAGATTTGTGTATAAACATAGCCACACACACTGTCACACATGCATTTCATATAAATAGGTGCTGCCAGTCTCTGCCTTGTTGGTGTTCCTGAAACATCAAACCACAACTTAGGTTTTTCTGAGAGGATCTGTAGTAATTTTGTGTGCATGATTTTAAGTGGTTGACATGGCATTGACATGATCAAGTTCAATGATATATTAATAGTTTTTCCCAAAAGGAATATTATTATTAAGACTTGGCAGTTATTGATTTATGCACTTTCTTAGTTATACAAGGTTTTTTAGAAACTAGGTCTGTAGCATTTTATTGTCAGTTGAAACATTTCGATTGACGAAAAAGGTGTCTTGTTTAATTGGACACTGACTTTAAAATGTGTTAAATTATTTTTTAATATTCATAAAAACTGTAGATGTCTTGAAGGGGAATACCTCTTCTAAGACGATTCTTGCTTCATTATCTAAAACCAAAGATGCTAATTCTAATGTTTTTTCATTATAATTATTGTTTCCCCCCCCATTATGGAGATCTATCAAGTAAAACTCCTGTGACTAAATTTTTAAGGTTGAGTAAAACATGATTCTCAATAGCTATGCAGATATTAATGAGATGGTTATTGCGTTTTGTCAAATTCCAGATATATACATAATTCTTAGTTGTCACTAAAATAGGATATTAGTAAGCACCTATGGACTTTTCTCATAAAGACCCAATCTTTTAGGCTACAACCCTATACACACTTCCTCGGGAGAAAGTCCCATTGAGCTTAGCAGAACTTTATTCTGAATAGGCATACATAGGAGCGCAAACCGCTAAGAACACAAGAGCAGCCCTGCTGTATCAGACCAGTGGCATATCTAGTCTAGCATCATCTACTCACAGTGTC